CCAGGTGTATATTTGGGATTTTTTAATCATAATATGAAAATCACTCAGATTAGTAATGAAACAGACTCGATATATTCACGAAGAAATCTTTAGTAGAAATACTTCATTAAAAAATAAATTTTTTGTGTGCAAAACACCTGCAGTGTTTATTAAAAATCTACCAAATTTTATGAAGATAAATGTTCTAGTATGATTACATAACGTCTGCAAATATGTATACGAACTCATATATTTTATATCAAGCCCAGCACAATAGGGTTAATATGTTTAGGAGTGTTATCTTCATGGCAATGGTGCAAGATAATGGTTCTTTGTTGTGCAAAGAGGTGATATTTATCTGAAATAAATTTTCAGGTAAGGATAATGTTAGCTTTCAGCCTAAAATGGATTTGTTTCTCATAGTATAAATTTATAAATATGTTATTGTCTCTAGAATTTGCATGTACATGCATAATGTCTTACCACATATTTATGAATGGGTATTTACTTGTCTCAAGTTTATTGGCTTTGAACTGTATAAAACGTTTTTTCTTTCCATTTTAGAATAAAAAGCATATTTAGTAATTTTATACACCAACATTTTTCCTTGAATTGTTCTAAGGTCAAATAATTTATGAGTGTTTGAATGCCATTGTATTATTTTCTAAACTTCTTCATTATCCTCACAGGAAACTTAAGAAATCAAATGTTATTCTAATTATTATTTTATATTAGGCCACACCAAAATAAAATATTGGTTGACAAATATCGTTGCTTCAATTTTTATGATATTCAAGGTTTTAAAACCATTATTATATAGGGCATTTGAGGAATTTGAACATAGTTTGCATACATATATCTTTGTATATATAATTTACTTCTGTGTTTCTAGTTATCATAAAATCTCACTCGTTTTCTTTCAGAATTTGTTCACGAATGCATACAACATATACGCAAAATGTATAAGAAGAATGTTGAAATTATTTTAGTGGGTCATTCAATGGTAAGTGGAAGCTTTATTTTCTCTTTAAGTGTCGTCTTAAAAACAAGCATTTTGGTAAAAGTTGTTCTCAAACTTTATGAATATATTTTTAAAACAGTATAAATAATTCAAAAAATATATTATTTTAACTGTGACATTATTTAAGTAAAAAGTTATTTTCAACCATTTATTTTTCTGCATCAGGGAGGTGTTCTTGCCAGAGCTATGTTGGTACACGAAGGATTTAATACTGCCTTGGTGCCCTTGATATTCACCCAGGCTTCACCACACATAGCATCACGTAAGTAATAGGTGGATTAAGAAAACATAATCATATTGCTCATATAAGTCGTATAAGATTTTTCTTATAGGAAATAATTAATTAGTAGTATTAGTGCAAGAGACAATAAATTTATTTTCTTGTGAGTACATGTAAGTTGTGATAAATTTCTTATACTAATAGTGTTACAAAGTGCCACATAGTTCCTTATGAGTACAAGTAGTATGAGATGAAACTTTAATAGTGGCACCAGAGGTCATAACATTTTTATTCTTGTAAGTACAGATAATACCGATTGAATAACTTAATATGATTACCAAGAGTTACTAAACTTAGTTTCTTGTGGGTACAGTAGCTTGTGATGGATGGAACCAAACACCACTTGATTTAGTAATTGTACATTAGTTTGTGATGAATGACATAACAGAGATACCAAGAATCACCAAAAGTGATAAATACCTTGATAACAGTACCAAAAGTCACCAGATTTATCCCTTTTTAAGTACAATTAATATGTGGTGATAAATTTGTTTGCAATTATTTTAGTCACTGGATGAGTTTATTGTGAGTACCAGTAGATACAGTGAATAGTTTGACAGTGGTATCAGCTCATTATGACTACTAGTAGTACACAGTGACTGAATTAATAATGATACCAGTGGTCACAAGATATCTAGAGGCGTGGTAAGCTAGAATTGTGATTGAGCAATGGTATGTTCTAACTGGGGAACTACACAAAAACAGTATTGTTTTGTGAACTTAACTTTTAAACTAAAAGTAGTAGAAAACAAAAAAGTGCATCACAGTAGTACAGAATAACACTGCTGTGATTCTGTGTATAGTACCAAACTTTTGGCTAAATCTGGGATATTACTACAGCTGTTCCAAATGCTGAAATACCATTGTCCCTATGTTTCTGAATATCTCATTGAAAAGTCTTGAAATTAGTTTTGTTCCTTTTTTTTGTTGAAGGGGCAAAATATAAATAAAAGAAAATTTGCATGAAGCAAAAATTCACTGGTAGATATAATTCTGTACTAGTGTTTCACAATTGTAGCATATATATATATATATATATATATTATTTGAGTTTTATGATTTTTGTTTATTACTTTTAATGGTGAATTGCTCTCCGCATATACAAAGTTAAAAATTTATGACTTAAGGGCTAAGGAGCACATGGAAATTCTTGTATAAACATCAAAATTAATTGTTAAATACACACATATGTATATATGATAAATGATTTACATCACAAGATTTACTCCTTTGTGAGTACTAACATTATGTTGTGAATGATTTAATAGTGCTACCAGCAGTCACTATATGTAGCTTCTTATAAATACTACTATTGTATGATGCATGTGTTGATAATTTTGCTGGGTTAACAGTGTTGTGGAGGAAAAGGATCTCTGGGTTCTGGTTAATCAGTCTCTTAAGCCATCCAAGCCAAGGAGTGTGCTTTTTCTAGTGGTATTTCAAATAGGAATTTAGGTTTTCTCCATAAAAATATTGAATACAAATCTAAAGAGGTTATAATTTCATTGAATAGGACAATGGTTATGCCTCTTTTGGAGTATCGTGTTCAGTCTTGGGCTCCTTACCTTAGAAAGGACATTGCTTATACAACATTGAAGAATATAGTTATGCAATTATGAATTAGAAACATAATACAATGTAAAGAAACAATAAATGTACACTTTATTTAATACTTAAGTAGCCAGAAAAGTGGTGGTGGGTGCTGCCACCCAGTTGTCTTCCCTCTAGTCAGCAGTTCCAAATTGTTGGCAGATAACTTTAGTAGTTTTGTCATAACAAAGATAGAATGAGCAAGTTTAGTGGCAATAAAAATCGAACCTAAAACACATGAATCACAGACCCTACCGCTTTTAATCAGATATGAACGATTTAGGTAAAAACTTAGGTAACTTGAAGAGGATCTGGCCCCTCTAACCTTTCTGTCCTGCCTGCCATGACTCCTGGCAATTGTGGAAAGAACATAATGAGGTCGTTTTACAATCAATGTTGAGGTAATTTAATTATTATAGTAGAAATATGCAGACTGTGATGACTTACCAAAATTTGTAGAATGATCCCCCTGTGAAAATGTTGATAGGAAGAGGAAATTAACTGAAATGAGAATGAAATATGAGAATGTGGTATGATCTAGGAGAATTTTTTCCTATATGGAAGCCTTTTGTTGAAGTTGCAAAAAGTGGAATTGTAGCATTGTTTTCAGTGGTGCAGGAAGGTGTGAAGAGTGTTATTACTATATCTAATTGTACATTGATGGCTAATGAATGCTGTTAATGCACGACAAAGAAAGAACTGTTTACAGTTTTAGTATTTGTTAAATTTTACTGCCACTGGTATTATGGTAGGAAGGTTCCCATTTCTGTGGACAATGCATTACTGAAGTGGCTTAGTAACTCCAAGAATTCAGTAGGTATGATTTCATACTGAATTAATAAAATCTTGCAGGACTTTTTGCCCTGTGCAATAAAATAATAATGCAGATAGAATATCTTGCCAGAAAATGAGAGAGTGTATTTTCTGAATATTCAGATTCTAAGTACTTTGATATTGTTAAAGACATTGATAATTTCATTTGTGTATGTACTCCATCTATGACAACTTTGGAACTTTTGAAGTAGCAACTGAATACTCAGAATATTAAGACATTTTTATAAGCAGTTACGATTAGAAGATTATGTTCGTTACTGCTGCTGTTCAGAGACATGCACATCTTTTTTCGAGATGTCTGCATTGGCCAAGTTATTGACCTACACTTGAATAACTTGGCTAACATATTAGTCATAGGGGAAGATTAGAATTTGACATTCTGGGAAGGTAGATGGAACTTACAAAAACTGAATACAGTCCTAAATAAAATTGGTTCTTGGTCAGAATTGCCATTCATCAATAAGGTCAAATTTGTCTTTGTGATTGTTAAGTGCTGTTATGTCATGTCATGAACTATATTGACAGAGAAGCCAGCCATTTTAGGAAGACTAAACTGCATCACATTCTTTGATTTTATATATTTGAACAATTTTTCTTTCATATTAAAGTGAAACAACTTTGCCAGTCTTTTTTTATTTTGATCAAATTTGATTTATCCACGTTTTGCATAGAAATATTAAGAACTTTCTGTTGGACAAACTTAATATATACTTATTAATTTTGATTTTACCTGAGAATACCACAGAATTGCAGGGGCATAAAATCATTAGTGCGTGGTAGTGCAAGTGCACCACCAACTTTAATAAACTGTGTGACATGCACTACCAATAGTTTTGTGTCTGTTCCCAAAACTGTACCATAACTTGAATTGGGCATGTTAGCACATTTTCTCTCCTCCAGTATGGTTAATTTAATGCCAAAATCACCAAAGAACATGTGATGAGTAGCATCTGTATGACTTTGGAAATCAGTTTTCTCATTTGTGCTATATAACATTATCTACTAAAGCTTAATAGTGCAACCATTTCGTTTGAATGTAAAAAAATGCAGAAAATACATTTGTATACTGTTATAGATGTTAAACTTTGGGTATATCCCTATATAGGCCTGGCATGGTCTGGTGGTTAGGGTACTTAACTTGCAATCTGCAGGTCATGGGTTTGAATTCCCATCACCAAACATGCTCACTATTTCAGTTATGGGGTGTTATAATGTGATAGTCAATCCCACTTTTTGGTAAAGTGTAGCCAAGAGTTGATTGTGGGCTGTACTGACAAGGTGCCTTGCTTCTAAATTATCAAACAAACCAATAAATCATTATCCCTATGTAAAGCATAAAAATATTTTTTTAATGTATCGCTCATGACAGCGACATGTGATTTATTAGTAAATTTTTGAAAGCTCTACCATTTAATGTTTACAAAACTAGGTACTTAAGTCCTAGAAGAGAAGACAATGACTAGTAATTTTAAATATTGAAAAGCTTGTATTTTGAGTAAAAAACAAAAATTTTTGTTTAATACATGCTATGCAGTTTTATGGTATAATGCATTTTACATTCGATATGGAATATTTTTATTGTACTCAAAGGCAACTGTTTTGATGATGTGTGTTTAGGATTCAACATTGAATTTGATTTTAAAATTTTCTTTATTTTAAACTATTGCAAGAGCCATTTCAAAGCAAGTTTAAACCTAGAGTGTGGTATACAGAGTTTGAGGTTAGTGGCTTTTATTTGTGTCTGTTAAAGAAGAGCACTCAAACAGAATAGATTATTATTTCATCTGACCATTCTTCAACTTTAATTTGTTTTAGTGGCATCCTTTGATAGTGCTCTACAGGACTTTTTCACAAGAGTGAACGACATTTGGAGAAACAAACGGAACAGTACCTTAAATCATGTGAGTGTAGTATCTGTTGGTGGAGGTGAGAGAGATATCTTGGTTCAATCTGATCTCACCCAACTCATACCAGAAGCAAACTCCATCAACAGCATAAGTGTTGTGGTAAGTAACTATGACTAAATTGTATGGGTGATTATTGGTTTTTACTTATGTTTGTTTGTACACTGTATGTGTGTATAATGATCCAAAGCTGTTTTTATAAACGTTATATATGGGTTAGAACTTGATTCTTTTTATGCTTTTTCATAAATTGTTTGTAGTAATTCTGATAAACTTAAAAGTACTTTGTAATTTATACTTCAAATCATCTTGATTAATTCTAAATGAATTTTTGTGAAGAATTATCTGACTTTGTATATACCAGATCAGTATTAATTAATTTCCCAAATGTAATCAAAATGTCTAATAGAAATTAACTCATAAAACATTTTATAGGTTGAATATGTTATATCAAAGTTATTTTCACAATTCAAATCAGCAAGTCATGTGACAACCACAGCTTATATAAAGTTGTGGTGGAACTGAGTATATCAAAACTACACTTTAATATCATCTGGTATTTCACAGGTTGTGTGATGCCACCAAAACTTAAGTGGTTTGGGGAAAGGTATGTAACAGCCTTTTTCAAGGCAAAATATTCATACACTCGTATAATAAAAATGTGCTCAGATTGGGAATTTAAAACTTACAAGAAGGAGATATCCTTGCACTTAATGGCAATGGTAAACAAAGGAATGTAGATCAAACTTGAGGATCAGGACCATCCAGAAATGAATTTAAAACAAGTTATATCCCAGCTTTGGTAAGCAAAATGTGGCTTCTTGTAACGGGTGAGAAGCCAAGATTCAAAAACTGTCCATGTGACCCAGAGAACAGTACACAGCATAATCAAGAAGGATCTCTGTCTGTAAACAAGGTCAGTAGTCTATGGGTTGACCAAGATAAAGTTTTCAAGTTATACCTCCCATTCAACTGTAGCATACCTCAAGCAGCTGGAGAATGATATGGATATTTGTCTTTTCATATAGAGACATACTGGTCAAGTCAGTGAATGCATTGCAGATCAGCCGACATGGGGGTTTGGGCTTGCTGATCACCCTCTTTAGATCGAGTTGCAACCCAATTTCAGATTCCAAATTGATATAAAAAATCAGTAACAAATCTAAATAAAATTAAAGTTAAACACTAAAGTTATGATAATTAAAAACAAATGTCTTGTTGCTTCTGTAAAATTTTGTGGGTTGAATATGATTACTGGTTAGTGTGAGTAATACTTCCCATTAGCAAATGCCTTTGTAGAGTCCACTTAGTTATGTTTAGTGATGTCTTCTTATATGTACACTTCTAGAGTGGAGGCATATTCTGCTGCTGCTGCAGCACTACTATAAATTCTTTTGTTGATGAATAGTTACAAGTTTAGGCTATTACATTCCTGTTTAGTGCCATTTGCCCTAAAGATCACTTATTCACGAAAGTCAATCTAACTGGTAATTTACAATTGATTTTGTGGATGTTTCATAATATTGCTCTTTCGCAGAATTTATTTATATACACCTTTTGTGATCACAGTGAAGTGTAAAATTAGTGAATATGAGTTAAATGATTTGGATTATCTATTCCAAAATATACCCAGCCCTAAAAAAGTGGATGCCCCTTCATAGTGCACATACTGCCACTGGGCCTGATGCAGTGTATATGAATTTCTGTACGATCAGACTTTTGAAACTGGTGCCAAGAAACTGTTGTCCTTGTACACTAGATGTATTATGGGATGCATGAAATGGAAACTATGTTGCAGAGCTGAAGAGGCTCCATAATGATTTCATTATAATGTACTCAATCCTCTGTAGTTTCAGGTTGGTGTATTCATTATAAAATAAACAGAAAAAACAATTACGCCATTTATTTTAATTTTTTTGTATACAGTACATTAACAAAGAAACAATTTTATTATATTGACATTGTATACAATATGTGGGAAAGAACTTGAGACTAGAACATAACAGTGAAACTAGGCCACGTATCTTTATAGCTTTAAAAACTTCTTCTACCTATATCCCATACAATGTTACTCTGAACTTGTATGAATATGTTTTAATTTTGAAAGAGTATGCCTCATTAAAATTTTTATAAATGCATAACAGTCAAATTATTGAATTAAAATAACTCATTTTCTGTGTAAAATATTTTGGGAATCTCAACTGTGGTTAGTGGGATTAACTGCAATATTGAAGGTATTTTCTTTAAATTTTTTTGTGTGACTTGTATGTTATTAGGTACCCTGTAAATAACAAAATCATGGACTCAAAAGCAGTTTAATATGTAAGTAGTTTTAAAATATGCTTAAAATGCTGATGTGGTTACATGGACCTCATTGGTAATCCTAGGAGTAGGAATTAATATTTTATTTTTGTTTTAGCCCTGGCATGGCCTGGTGGTTAGGGCACTCAACTCACAGTCTACAGGTTGCAGATTTGAATTTCTGTCCCTGAACATGCTTGCCCCTTTTAGCCATGGGAGCATTATAATGTCATGATCAATCTCTTTATTCATTGATAAAGAGTATCCAAAGAGTTGGTGGTGGGTAGTGTTGTGTAGTTGACTTCCCTCTAACCTATCACTTCAAAATTAGAGATGGCTAGTGCAGTTTATCCAAAATTCCACAGACAAACAAATATTTTTGTTTTTATGTCATCTTCATGATGTCAGAAGTTAGGAGACGTTTCAGATTCCTAAATTTGGATATGTTATCCATTGATAGAACTTTAGTTAAATATTATAACGTATTTATGAAATTAACTTTAAGAATTGTGTTTATTGCTGAACTTGAGTATCAATTAAATAATGGTCTGCTTTTTATGAAATTGAGTGTTTTCTTCATTGTTTAATATTTCATAAGAGTCTCAAAATTGTGCAATAATTCTGATATGGTACTTCCCTCTTTTCACAAAATCAGCTATTCTCATCCAGCTCTGCCCTCTATATGTGAACTTTTTTCTTTATGCATGTCACAAGCCTTCTGCTCCCCCCTATTGGAATCAAATGATTCCAACATATGTCTCATGCAAATCATGCATCACTTCTCCACCAATAGTAACATGACATATGTGATGCATGTGACTCTCTCTGTACACCTCTATCAAACTATCACTTGTCGTTTGGCAGTGCTTGTGCTTGGATGTATTCCTTTCTTTTTTTTCAATTCCATGCTCAACTTTAGTATACTTGCAAAGTGGTTTTCATTTAAATTCATTCCAAGTTTATTAAAACAGTTTCTTCACTTTAATTTAATCCCAGTTTATTACAGTCACATTATTATTGTTAATAATTTCGATTTTGGTTGACTCTTCTTGATATGAATTTCGAAGTTCATGTTACACTTTCAGGGTTTCACCTGTGACTAGCGCTATGTCACAGGCCTAAGTTACATGCAACTCAGTGGGCGATTTATCAGCATTTTTGGGGAGATTGAATGCAACATGGGTCAACTCTATCTCTGGACCTTGCCCCACTTCCTCCTGAACATGCTGAGCCTGTTCAGGCTGGTGAGACTTGGATTGCCTATTTCTGCCTCCTGATTTGGCTGTGCCTTCCCATCCCCTTCTTGAGGAGTCCGTTAAGCCTACTATGGTCTTTTTTTTATTTTGTTTCTCAGGTATGTGATGTTTTAGCCCTTTCCTCTATTTCATATTAACTGCATCCTTCCTTACTAAATGCCCGATCTTTACATCCCTATTTGGTTTTTCCCCTTCCTCAGGTATTCGAGTACATGCTGACTAATTTGGCTCACAATTAATGATGGGATTAGCATGCTTTACTCCCCCATGGGCTACGGAGCTGTTTGCTCTTGCATATCATTGTGCAGATGTTCCTTTTCTAGACCAACAATTGTTTTATTTTACCTGTTTCGGGGACGATCCCCGAATCTCTTGTAAGCCTGACCCATGACTAATTTTCTTGCCTTCATCTTACCATCACAACTCTTTTTACAGTATCTGTCTACCATTCATCTACTCTTTGAGGCTCTACACCGAGATTCTGTGAAGTTTTCTGGTGACGTCCTCTCCTTTCTTTCCTCCATCTTGGCTCGTTTGCCTTCTTAAACTCTGGCTTTGCATATGTGGTTTCTCTGTTATTGGGACCTTCTAGGTCATGATGTGATGCATCCGTTTACCAGCATCTTATCTTCAGAATTTATATATGGCCCCCATTTTGTCAGTATTATGTATTGGACACAATCGCTGAGTGCTTGGAGTCTCGAGTTGCATCAGTACAAGAACAGTCTATCCTTTCCACTCTTGTTGTCCATTTGTTTCAGTCAGAGCCCAATATGGCATATGTTACAGTTTCTTGTCCTTCTCCTTCCCAACCCTTAAATGTCCCTCCTGTTTAGGGTGTCTTGTCTTGGTGTATTCTTCGATGAAGCACGTCATGTCGCCAACAGTATCGGTGACTACTCAGTGGGAGTTTGACTTGCCGATATTCTTCATCAGTAGAATCATTTCGTCAAAGATCATTGAGTTCTTCAGCTTTTATTGGAAGGATTTGTGATCCTGTTTCTTTCCACACCTCCCCATTCTCCAATACCCATTTCCTTCCCTCCACCTCAGGATCCAATGACCAACCAGTGTCTGTTAGAGGCAATTCAAGACCTACTATCTCAGCAGGCCATCAAGCTTGTTCTACATACTTCAACAGGTTTTTATTCCAGACTCTTTATTGTTCCCAAGAAAACTGGGAACTGGAAGTCTGTCATCGATTTGTCACACCTCAATCAATTCATTCAACTTTCCCCATTTTACCATGGAGTCATTTCTCACCCTATGGTGGGTGTTTCACTGGGTGTGTGCATGACCAAGATGGATATCACCAATGCTTATCTACACATCCCTGTCTCAACACAGTCTCATGTGTTACAGGGTGGTTTACCATTTTTGTGCCCTACCCTTAGGGCTTGCTCCTGCCCCTTATAATCTACTCTCGGATGGTTGAAGCTTTTGCTCCCAAACTTCATACTCTGGGGCTGCGATTCCACCATTACATGGATGACTGGCTTTTTCTCTTTCATTTTGAACTGGAGTTGGCCTGCCATATTTGTCAGCACCTTCACATGGCTGCTCGGGTGGGCTGGTTAATCACATTGGAGAAATCCTTCCCTCGTCCTGCCCAATATCTTGTCCATTTAGGTGTCCTCCTCCTCTAGGACTTTGTTCCTTGGAATTGTTAGTTTGCTACACCCTTTCTGCTCAAGAGGTTCTATCACTTTTGGGGATGTGCTTGTAAATAAAGTCTCTGGTCATTCTCAGTAGTGCACATATGTGATCCCATCAGTGGGCTTTTCATGATCAATGGAACCTAGCTCTGGAGCCTTTGGCAGCTCCCATTACCCTTCCTTATACCCTGTTGAATGATCTGCTTTGGTGGTTGGACAAAGCCCATACGTAGGTGGGCATCCCACTTCCTCCTCCTCATCTGGATTTCCATCTGTTCACAGATGCATCCATTCAGGGCTGGGATTCATGGGTCAATTACTAAGAGGCTTCAGGCCGTTGGTCTGTTGATGAACAGACTTTGCATATTAACGTCCTCAAGCTTCTTATGGTCTGTCAGGCTTTGAATCACTTCCTTTCTCTTGCCAAACATTGTCTGGTGATGATTCATTCTGACAATTCCATGGTAGTAGAACATATCAATTACCAAGTGGATAACCTCACCATCATGTGGTTAGCAATTCTTATAAATAATTTAAAAATGGACACTAGTATGATACCTTCATCATTTTCATTACATCTTTCCTTCCAACCTTCTCTTGTCAGTTGTTTTATTTCTCCTTCTAACTCTTCATCTACTCACCAATTACAGATTACGGTTAGCAATTCTTATAAATAATTTAAAAATGGACACTAGTATGATACCTTCATCATTTTCATTACATCTTTCCTTCCGACCTTCTCTTGTCAGTTGTTTTATTTCTCCTTCTAACTCTTCATCTACTCACCAATTACAGATCGCTATGTCAAGATCTCTCTGTTTTTGTATATTGGATCTCCTATATTGGGCCCACACACGCTATCTTCATCTCATTGCGTGTCATGTTTTGAGTGCTTTCAATCTCGTGGCAGATCATCTTTTCCACCCTGACCAAATTTATCTGACAGTGTGGTGTTTAGGTCCCACAAATTCCTTTGTGTTTATCCTCCTATCCAATTATTTGATTGTGTGGTCTCTCTCATCCGTACCACTCCATGTCGAATCCTTCTGATTGCTCCCTATTGGCCAGCTCAACCATGGTTTCCAAGATACCAACTGCAACTTTTCCCTCCAGTATCCCTCCCTTGTCTCCCTCCCTCTTTGTTAACCTCAGTCACCAATTCTACATCCAGCCATTCACGTCCTTTGTCATCATGCCTGGCTTTCAATGGGTCCATGGCGAGGAGATCAAGTTTCTTCCATCGAGTAGCTTTTCTTTTGGCTCGTTCCATATGTCTTTCAATAGAGGCGTGTTTTGTTTCCTCTGTTCCTTTCAGATTCTTTGTCCCCCAAATGGTATAGTCTTCCAGTCTGTGATACTAATGTGGTCCTCACTTTACCTCCGTTTTACCCAATTTCCTCGTGGTCCATGTTTCACCTTTTTCTTGAAACATATTTCCTTCTCCCCGTAGCCTGTGGACGTTAAAGGTCTGATTTGTTCACCATTGACATTTCACATACGCTTTACCACCAGATCTATCTTCTCCTTCATCCAGATCGTTCCTTCCTCCCAATATCCTTGGCAACTAGGGAAGGTAACTCCTCCTTTTTGCCTATTTCCCTTCCTTCTATTTCTCATCTCTACCCTTGTCCAGATTGGGATAGACTTCAATGTCTGGTTTGTACCTTCATTGCTATATTGCTCGTACGGATTCCTTCAGTGGTACCCATTCCCGACTCTTTATCCCTTGGCAGTCTTCCTCTGTTCATGATCTATCCCTTTCTACCCTCACCAATTGGGTTCAATGTTTGATTCAATTGGCTTATTCTTCTTATCATCTTCCCAATGGAATTTGTTTAGGGTGTCTTCTCATTAGATTTGACACCTCACATTTTCCCTCGCATCTCATCTTCATTGGCCATTGGAAGAAATCCTACAATTGGGCATGTGGATTACACCTAATACTTTCATCTCTCATGATTTACACTATATCACAGTTTCTTCTTTGTCAGGTTTTCGACTGCCACCTGTGGCCATTCTTCACGCTTCTATGCGACTTTGATTGGGTAAGTTTATATTCATACATTCTTTTCGTTTCAGGGGCCCTTACTTCATTTATTCTTTATAGGGATCCCACTCTGTGGTGAGCAATGCCTGATCAGGTATTCTTCAATCTGCATTGTACAGCCATGTTGATTCATGCTTTATCTTCCATGGCTTCACAATGCTCACTGTTGAGATGGATTGTTCCACAAGATTGCTTGTAGGTGAATAACCTTGTGATGTAATTGCTTCATAAACTTGCCCATTCTGGACCATACCACCCATGGGCTGCATGAGTAAAGCAGAAGGGGATAGCTGCCCTATCCCTGTGTGCCTTGTATTGAATATATCAGTATGGTCTGCTTTTAAAAATAGGGTTTTGTGGTCACCCATTGCACTGTCTCAGATGATGACATTCCTCCAGACTCTCCACCATGTTCTCACTCCCTTTTCTTCTAGTGGAGTATAGGAGTCCTTCCCACTTTCCAATTTCAAGCTGCTGGGGTAGTCGGCTATAGAGGCACCCTCCTGAATGGGTTCCAAACAAAGATGGCTATAACCATTCAGTTCAGAGTAGGGCAGTGGTGTTCTATGGGTGTAGATGGCCTGATATCCTCCACAATGTGCTATACAATCATTAATGAGTGAGACATCAAATTGCAATTCACTCCTTCAATTGGAGCCCTCATCCTACCCCGTGTGGATGTCGGTTCGCCGTGGCTGGGTTTTGGATTTAGAGTACAACCAATCAACATAAGTCCTCACACATGTTTATGTTTGTCTAAATTCCTCCCTCGATTATACTCCAGAGATAAGGGAATTGTTTTAGTTCTGTCCTTTTTGCCATCCTTCTTGTATCTAATTCTGAGGATGTTATTGCATTTGGATGGTTTTGGTCGGTTTCACTGTTGGGAGAATTTATTTATATTTAATGGAAATCATTTTGATACCGGATGTAGGGTCCCTGGATCAATATATTAAAGCTAACATGTGTCATGTTCTGGAGTTACAGTGGTTCTAGATTCCTTCCGGTCTCTTGAACTTGAAATGAAGAAGATATAATTCTCATCCTACCCCTGCGTGGATGTCAGTTCCCAGCGGCATGAGTTTTAAATGTAGTTGACTTATCAAGTATGGTCCATCGCACCATAGCCACTCTACACCTAGAGGCACATCCATTGATTTACCCACTTTCATACTTGGTGGAATTAAGTTTCATATATATTTCATGGTTGGGATCACAATTCTGCATCAGTTTTCTCCCACTTTGATGTACTCCTCTCTTTTTCCACCTTTATCCCATACACACTTTACAGATGGATTTATCTGGTCAGATCTTTGGATTTGATTCTCTCATTTACAAGGTATACTTTGGATGCTTTCAGGGGGGTACTTCGGTCATTCCCAGTCCCTCCACCTAATCAATGTTGGATTCTAGCTAATCTTGTTAGCAGAGGGAAGTACCATATTGGAAATTGTAATTTTCCTATACTGAAAATGTATTTCCTATAGATACTTCCCTCTTCTCACACTTTCCACTCTTACTTCTCACCTTCATCCGGTGCTCACATCTTCTGCCAAACTTCAAAGTGATAGAGGCGTATAGAGGGAGTCATGTATGACATGTTATTATTGGTGAAGAAGTGATGCATCATGACTTGCATGAGAGACATGATGGAATCATTTGATTCCAGTAGGGGGGAAGCAGAAGCCTTGTGGCATAGGTAAAGAAAAAAGTTTGCATTATAGAGGGCAGCACTGGATGAGAATAGCTAATCTTGTGAGAGGACAGAAGTACCTATAGGAAATACATTTTCAGTATAGGAAAATTATAACTTTATGATAATGGGTTATTAATAACTTGAATTAAACATTAGATTGAGTAAGTTCAATAGTGTTCTTTTTTTGCCAGGGTACAACAGTTTAATGGTAATGGTTTATTGATAACATGAATTAAACATCAAACAATGTATATTCAAAAGTGTTCTCTTTTCTTTTTTTTGCAGAGTACAGCAGTTCCTGGTGTGTGGGCATCAACTGACCATCTGTGTATTGTGTGGTAAGATTTTTCCATTATGTTTATTTTAATATTTATCTATGGGAAAAAAATCTGCTGGAGGTTCTTTCTCTTAAATCTATCAACCTGGGCTTGGTCCCTGGGACCAACCTTGTAAACATTTTGTGCTTGTTATAGTTTTCATGCTATAACTTTTAAATTAACAAACAGATGTTAACGAAATTTGGCAGTTTATCAGTAAACATTACAGTGCTTTCATACACAAAATATCCATTTTGTTTTCTTATGACTCTTTTTTTTTTCTTTTCACATCTTTCCTATCTATCATGCAAAGTAATTTTTATCTTAGCATTGAAAATACTTATGCATTAGAAAATTTTGAAATTTCACATGCAAAATCTTTATAATGTCCAGATAATTACCAAAAATTTCTTAATAAAAACTATATTTTATCTGTTATTTTCAGTAATTAATCTCTGTACGGGTTCAATAAATTTGACCGATCTCGCAACCACCATAAAAAATTAGGAAATAAACATAAATTATGCGTCTTTCATTCTAAAATGAACACAAATTATAACATGAAACATAAATGTTTAGACGAAATAGCTTAAAACTCGTAACATTATACATTTATATATATCTGTTATTTATGTTATATTGACCTTTCACTCGTGCCTGACTAACAATGCAGAAGTTACAACAATGTGGCTCACATGCATTCATGTTACCATATCCAATAACATAAAGGTGACCTTTGGTCTGTACAAAGTAATTTGTCTTGGCTGTGTTTTAGTCGACTTGTATTTGGTGAAACAGACACATTTCAATTATTATACATTATATATGTATATAGATTATTGCTATTTTGAAATAAGTTCTTAAAGTTATTTTTCCTACATCATAGAACAGTAAATAAAGAAGTAAAGCAAACAATTATCTCTTCTAGTTACAACCTTTGTACTTGGTTGCTGCTTCACTTAGGTTGCTAAGCTTTTAAAAGTTTTGCACGTGGAGGATATGAAACAAAATATTTTTTTTTAGGTTTTTTATATACTTTTGAATAACTCAAAAATTGTAAATAAGTACATCAGTACTATAGAATTCTACTATAATTTATCAAGCTTAGTAACTAAGCTGTATTTGAGTCTAAAAAAATATGACTAAATAGTAGACTAATGACACAACCTACCTCATTGAAATCTTGATTCAAAAGAAAGAAATGGTGGAAGGAATGTTAGATAGGCTTATAAAACCACTAGGGGAACATTCTGAGCTTCCGATTGGTTATTCATGTCATACATAGAAGTAAGTGTATAAAAGGGAGCATTTCCGAAAATGGATAGAGGTGAGCGGGGTGCCATTCTGTTTATTACGTGAGCAATATCTTAGCAAAAAGAAAAGATGAGACCTTCTTATATTGTATTCTAGCTTGTCAATATCTCTAATTTGAGTTTCTAATTCGTATGAAACTATAGACTTAGTATTTTGACTTCACAAACATCTAATTTGAACCAGTGCTGCATTCAACATACCACATGACACACAAAAATCAATGTTTATCTGTGTTTTTTTAATATTTACTTTTAAATTAACAAATTCAGTAATGTATAGTTCTAAAATTTGAATTATAATCTACAGTTTGGTACCAAACTTATTGACATAAATGCATCAGATAGTAGTTCAATAAAATTTTGAATGCGAGTCAACAAACAAGATGACATAGCCTTTCACCTGTGACCTGTCTCAAAAGGGTTAAAAGATTTTTTATTATTTCAAAGTAAAAAACATCCTCTTCCTTCGTTAGCTGAGAATTATAGTGCACCTTTTACTTCGTACATTACTAGCTGGATGTTAAACAAGGCACTGTAGATTGTACTTCTCAAGTGACTTACAAAAATGTAAATTAACTATTGATTAAAGTCTTAATATTTGCTAATGGAAAGTGTTATAGCAATTAATCTTCTAAAGACTTTTAACTTGTGTAAAATATATTTCAAGCATACAACTATCCAAGCTAGAGTCATAAACTGGAGCTGAACAACTATTCAAGTCCAACTTCTAAATGACAGCCTATACGAAGTATACGCTTGTATTTGTCTGTCCAGAAATATTCTTGCAAATTTCTCGATCAAATGCTACAAATTTCATATCATTAAAAAGGCCTTTGTCAGTGGAGTCCAGCTTGCATATTGGGTTTTCCATTCAGAATCACCTTACCTGTTTTTTGCATAGTCAAACATTTTAATTCAATGAGAATGCTACACAATGGCACATGTTCATTGTTATCATGTGACCACTGGCTTCAATTTCAACCTTAAGTTTTTTCATTTGCAAAGTATTTCACACAAACAACACTTAACCTGCATGTCATTTCCTAAAAAAAAAAAAAAGATGAACATTACACTAAATACAATTTCTGTAGGCTTTGTCAACTTATTCAGGTCTAAGATATGCATGAGCAGTTCGTTCAAAACCATATGCTTATTACTTTGTAAACACACATTCAGATGTTTTTGCATATTCAGCCAAGTTTGCCTTCATTCAACTTTAAATTTACTTTACTTTGCAATTACTTTGCTTTTGTTCATTTCATAGACTGCTATAAATAACACCTTCTAGCTACTTTTTTCTTTACTATGGGTTTTGTTTTCATTTTCGTGAGTTTCTTTGTTTGAACTCATAAAACCCTATCATACACTGAATGTCTATAACTGTTTCATACTTTGTATGCTATTATATATACTATTACTCTATTGTTTATTTTTCATGTAGTTTTATTATATGAAGTTATGTATGTGTAGCTTTGTTAAATAAAGTTACATATGTGTAGCTTTATTAAATAAAGTTAATTCTATGTGATTTTATTTGTCAGACCACATAAATTTTTTTAAATACACCAGGATTTATCGATCTGACATAATGCCTGCAAGAAAGCTTAGTTTAAATGGTGTGCATGAAAATTATAGCATAAAGAAAATTCAAGCAAAGGACATGAAAACTACCGCAAATGTTTTGCAGGTTGTGGCTTGTGTCAAAGAACATAGTAGAGTTTCAACAGAATTTCCAGTTGTTATATATGTTAAGAACAATGTAATTCTCAAGTTATTCTGGATTCCTGAACTCTATATGTTACTCTATAAATACAGATTCATAGTTGGAGCCAAAGAAAATCCACAACAAAAGACTTATGTATTTTAATAGGTAAAGGTCTTAATTATATCAGAAGTATTGTAGCAAAATATAAGAAAGGGGAAGTATTGAGAAGATACCTCACCTCTACACACAGTTTAGCTATTTTCCCTGCACATCTTCCTTAGAGATTTACATGCCACTGTCCTTTAGGCAACTCCAACCTAATTTCATGAGATTTATGTGAATTACTCTACTGCATGATGACATCATGATGTGAAGGAGGGTGACACACTTCCATACGTAGTAACTCCCATTATGCATTTGCATTCATGAAGTTTCATTCTTCTCCTCAGCATTGTATGAACAGTTGTGTTTAAATTTCTTGTATGCATTCAATTTTTTTTTTAGATCAAAAAAGAAGAAGAAAGAAACTTTAATTTTTACTTTCTTTTTGTTTCAAAGGCCTTAATTTTTATTGCAACTTCTCAAAGTATGATGATTTATATTTGGTCCTGAGTGTGTAACATTGTTCATACTTAGGCCTCGTTGTTGCTGTGGCTTTTGGAGGCTCATTAACTGTCAGGGTCATTGCAGCCATTGTACAATGTGTTGTGGATCACCACATGTTTAATGGGCCTTCTACTCCCATCTTGTCAGCCAAATGTTATTCTCAACAGTTGAGAATAATCTGTTGGAGTACGACCTTCACTTGATTTGCTTTGGGTAGTACTTTACAATTCGTGAGACAAACTTAATCTATCAATCTCTTTCTGGATTTCCTTCTCATGTATGTTCCTTCCCCTATCTTTTACCTGTGATTTTTATTAATTTTTTGTTTTCTTACTTTATTACTCACAATTTCTCCCTGCTTGTTATTTGGTTTATTGCTGTTTTATTTCTCTAATAGTTTCTTCCTCCTTCTGAAGGTCTTGTCCCTCTCACCTTCTTGACTGGTTTTGTCCTGATTTGTAGACTTTCTTCGTTTCCCTTTCTTGATTCTCTGTCAGTGGTATCTTTCTGACCATCTTGGGGATCATGCCCCTTATCTTCTATTTTACTCTGTAGATCCTCATTTTTGCGTGTCTTGTCAGTTCATCTCTACTCTTCTGTATTCCTGCTCCTTACTCCACATTTTATTTGAGGCATTTCTTCATGATTTTGATGTCTTCTGTAGATGTGTGTTACCTTCTGTGTTTAGCCAGTCCCATTTCTTCTGCACTATCCCTCTGTACTTTATTACCCTGCTTTAGGAACTTGCTATTATATCACGTATATACTTGTACCACTTCCTTTTTTTGTGTACTTCTTATTCATCTGGCTCCCTTTCTTTGTTGACTAGATATGGTCAGTAGTGTTCCTTTTCCCCGATAACCTAGTCTTATATCATATGACTTCTGTCCTTGTTTTTGTCATAGGTTTCTTTTTCCTCTTTTTCGACCTTGCTTTTTACTCCTCATTAAATCTGTCTTCCCATCTTCCCATTTTGTATTTCAGACCTTCTGCTTTTTCTCATCTCTACCAGAAGTCTTGTTTGTTATTCTTCACATGTATGATTCTATGGGTACCTCACTCTTCCCTCGTTGTTGGTCTCAATTTCTGCTGACAATTCCTTTTTTTTTCTCCCATTTTCTCTCTCCAATCCCAATCTGTAGTCTTTTCACCCAGTTTACAGTTGGCCTTGGTTCATATGTCGGATACCTTCCTACATGTCTTTCTCGGCATCTCCTCCCTTTGTGTTCTATACTTCATCCATCTTTTTTACATCTTCCCATTTCTTCTTCTTCCCTTTGACTCAGTATTGGCCCCTCTTGTATTATTTTGATGGAGTTTCTTTTCTTGGACTATTTCTTTCTCAGCTGTTTCCTTTTCTTCCATCATCCTTCCTTTCCTATGGCAATTCAGTTATG